AAGCATTGAAATGCAAAAATTATGATTTTTGTGCAGTATTTTTTACGAAATTTTGACTTTAAAAACTTAGGAAAAGTCGAAAAAAAATTATATCCTGTGTCCTCTATTTTTTTGTGTATAGGTGCATTAATTTGGCGTCGTTCAAGGTATCGCTCATTAAAATCTATGGAGAGACTTTTGAGCTAAAATTCGTTAACAAAACCTAAAATATAGAAAAAATGAACAAACGAGAAGGAACGTGTGAGTCGTTTCTGGGGACACGACTCTACTTATACCCGTACTCAGTCAGTATATACATTATTGAGCTTATAATTTTTTAGAATTTTAGAAAAAAAAAAAATTTTTACATTTTTTTGCTACATCTGCTATCTACATCTCATCTACAATGTCTATTCTACATCTAACATGTAGATTGTACATGTTCCATTCATATTCTACATCTCCTCCGCTAGGGGTTGCTCGCGCACTGAACGCGGCAGCGTGTGCGAGCGAGAAGGAAAATGAGTTCCGTTGTCTGGACCGGGAGGGGGAGGGGAAGCAACTGAAAATTAATTTCTTCATTCTGGCTATAATTATGATCCGATCTGATTCAGATTCGGCAGTCTGGTAGATATGGTCATTCTCTACGATACTGCGTTTTTAGTTTTATCGTATCTTTAAAATTGTGCCTGTCACAGATTTTCGTCCTTTGTGGGGCGGAAGGAGGCGGGGCGAAATTTTGAAATACACTTGTAGCAGTGGGATATCACATAAGTCTGGAAACCAAATTTGGTTGCCCTAGCTCTTATAGTCTCTGAGATCTAGGCGCTCAACAAGACAGACAGACGGACAGACGGACAGACAGACATGGCTATATCGACTCGGCTATTGATGCTGATCAAGAATATATATACTTTATGGGGTCGGAAACGTTTCCTTCTCTGCGTTACACACATCCACTTTTACCACAAATCTAATATACCCCTTAACTCTTTTTTGAGTACGGGTATAAAAATACCTTTTGGAAGGTTGCGAGCTCAACTGCCCATTGGGAATTGGGATCGCGATCAGGTACCAAATGTACAACCCTTTTTCGTTTGCTTTGTTCCCAATTGGCAGTTGGGCCCGCAACCATCAAAAAGGTATTTTTTGTTCTTTTTTTTTTTTCATTTTTTAGGTTTGGTTAACGAATCTTAGCTCCAAAGTCTCTCCATAGATTTTAATGAGCGATACCTTAAACGACGCCAAATTAGTGCACCTATACAAAAAAAAATTGAAGACACAGAATATAATTTTTTTTCGACTTTTCCTGAGTTTTTAAAGTCAAAATTGCGTAAAATATACCGCACAAAAATCATCATTTTTGCATTTCAATGCTTTATATTTCCCAGACGGTAAGCTGTAATCACAAAGTGTTTGGGCTTAACTTCTAGCTGTTTTAATTATCTTTTCAAAATAGCAAAGTTCTTAGACGTAAGATACTAGAGCTATGTGAAAAAAACAAGCGCTACCTCTGAAAAAAGCTTTAAAAAAAAATACCAGTTTTCAAAAATTCTTCAAAAAAAAGTTCTGCCATAGAAAAAAAAAAATATCATCAAACCATTTCTAAGCCCCAAATCTTTAAGAAAAAGTTCGTTTTGTTCCTTGAGAAAAAATCGTGTTGACTAGTGTTATTAACAGAGTTCATTTTTCTAAATACTTTTTCCCTGGACATTTTTTTCGATACAAAATATGTTTTTGCTGTTATAACCATTTTCTATGTGAAACATACAAAACTTTTTTTTTTTGGTATTTAAAAAATATATATGGAATTTTGTTATGCCTTTTGTTTTGTAGTTATAAGCAGCTAACCAAATAAAAATATAAAATAAATCAAGAAAATAGGTGTTGAAAAAAAACGTCTTTTAAAGCAGTGCACATATAGCCATTTTACTAAGGTAATATGTAAAATTTTTTTTTTAATTCTAAAATTCTAAAAAATTGAATGCTCAAAAATGTATGTACTGACTGAGTACGGGTATAAGTAGAGTCGCGTCCACAGAAGCGACTCGCACGTTCTTTCTGGTTTTTTTTGTCTAAATGCAGAATGCTGTTTCGCTTTGAGTGATGACCTTACGGCCGAAAAGTTGCGCTCTCAAAAGTTCCCAGACACACATTGCCGTTCGTCAAAGAGTGTTTAATTGTACTTTGACAGTTTTATGGCCCAAATCATTGCGTCTTCAGATATTTCCCATCCAGACTCGAAGTATTGTCCAGCCCAGAGCAGTAGCTTCTAATCCTTGTTTGGGTCGGAAGATACCTTCTCTTTCCACTTAGATATTACCGCTTGGATCTGTGTGGGCAAGTCGTGTACTGAACTCTACTAAAACTTTCCCTTGATGGTTAATGGGCATCTATGATGATACAATAATAATCTCAGTGTTCTTATATTTCCTTTCAATCGATAAAGTCTAAAACCATTATTTGTGCAGCAGAGAACCGAGACCCAAGTCTCGATTTCTTGCCGGGGTATTCTGACTTTCAGCTGAAAATATGCTTCACAAAGATTGGGTAACAAAATTCTCGCAGAGAAGGACAAGGAGAAGGAAGGAGGAAAATGTAATTTTTGAGCCCAATTTCTGTAAGTATAACACTAGTCGACACGAGTTTTCCTCAAGGAACAAAACCAACTTATTCTTAAAGATTTGGGGCCTAGAAATGGTTTGATGATATTTTATTTTTCTATGTCAGAACTTTTTTTTGAAGAATTTTTGAAAACTGGTATTTTTCTTAAGCTTTTTTCAGAGGTAGCGCTTCTTTTTTTCACAGGTAAACCATAATTCTTTAAAAAATTTTAAAGTCCCATATCTATCAGAAAAAGTCGGTTTGGATCCTTGAGGAAAAAAAGTTCGATTTGGTTGAGTAGTGTAATCAAATAGGACGAAATTTAAATTTTTCCTATATGCCGCGTTGTAAATAAATTACCCAAATTGTGGACGGGCCGTCAAGCGCAATGGGCTCTTGAAATGGGGGCCCTGGCTAATGGAGTGGTAACAGCCAAACAGAATTCCGCTGGCTGGTAACAGCTGACGGAGGGCGGTGGGCAAGGGCGAGTTAGAAGTGGCGCTAGGGACGTCGCAACGTCGGCATCTCGATAAATTTTCGAGCGCAACTTTGTGACGTTATTAATACGTTGGGGATCGAGGTCCTTGCACGTACGCACCAGCCGCTAACCGTACGACGGCGAATTTTTCTTAATTACACGGCTTACACCCAGTGAGGTATTAGAGACGTGGAAGAAGTTTTCTGCAAATATAATTTTGAGCACCATTGGTCTATGTGTTTTCACATTTATTTGTTTAGGGCTGGATTGTGCAATCGGTTTGACTAAAATTTAGTCAGCGGAGTCTGTGGGTGAGTAAAGGTGTGTGTATGATTAATTAAATGAGGTCGAATTCCTCTTTCCAGAAGTTCAGTTTCAATGAGTTGGATTGGTATTCCGACATGTTTAGCTAAACGTTAATGAAGTATGACAGGGCGGAATAAGTGTAAACCTTTCGCCCTACCCCTCCAATGCATTGCAATGGAGCAAATTCTCTGTCTAATTTTATAGATATCTTTCGACAGGTTTACTTGGCTGACTGTCAGCTCAATTTAATTCATACGAAAAAACTAAATTCACTTTTTCCCAAATGAGCACCAAAATAATCAACAGCTGCCTTCGCCACATGAGCTTATCCACCACACAAAATAAATGTATGCAAAGGGTGAAGGAAATACTTATCATACAGTGGCAAAGTGGAGGGCAGCAAGAACCTGATTACGATACGACCCAGCAGAATACTAGATGAGTATGAGTTTTCGTCTTTATTCTGGTTATAATAATTATATTTAAGAATATTTACTAGGCTGGGCCAAAATTTGACCAACAAATTTTGTTTTAATTTTTTTATGTGGACACCCTCCAATTCTGTTCTTTGTTATTCAATAAAAGTATACAATTTTTTTTCAAATTTTTAGTTTAATGTTTGGGGTTGCTACCAAGAAAAGAAAATACAAATTTTCGGGTAAATATACATTACAAAAAAATTTAATTCGTCGGTTTTTTCAAATAATATTGAAACTTAGAAACTAGTTCATATTGATAATAAGGTATTTTAATTTTTTTTTTTAGTTACTGCTAAAAAATTAACGATTGGTGAAAATCAAGAAGTTCAGCTGAGGCTGATATATTTATTTAACTAGTGTTAGCTTGTGCAGGTTTTTTACTGCCAATAACTGATTAATGACGATATGTATGTTATCAATATATATGCAATAGATTTCACCAATTATTTTTTTTTGAATTTTCTTGATTAAAATTGTTTGTAAAATTCGGTAGCAACCTCTAAAAATTACAAAAAAATAAAATAAAATCATGTAAATTACTATTAAATCCAAGGTAACAAAACTAGGGGCTGTCTCGTTTTATTTTCGAAAAAAAGTTTTTTGGCCCAGCCTAATATTTACTTTATGGGACGTTTTGCTTTTATTTTACTTTCTGCTTGTATCTAAAATCCTTGTGTACTCTCTTTCTCAATTCTCTCAGTGTATCTCTTAACGGTCAAGTTTAACTGGCATTGATCAGCCCTTGCGAATTAAATTCAGCAAATGATCTTTCCGCACTGGCATGTTGTTGTCAACGCAATAATCGAAGCAGTCAGGCTGACATTCTAAGACACTAAGTAGGACAGAGCGCATACCTAGCCCAGCCCCAGCCATAGGCCAATCCTTGATACCCATATTCTTTGCGTGGAAAATTATAGGTCTCGTAAGGCATTAGGGGCTTGTGTGCGTGTCATTTAATAGTTTAAATTAATATATAGTTAAGGAATTGTACTAAAGACCGCCCGCATATAAAGTCATACAGAATTCCTTTGTCTGGTCTTTGAGATTACCTTATTTGTTGTGTTTGATTTTCGAGATGAGCATTTATTGTCGAAAAAACGAAAACAATTTTCTTTGTTGAGACTGCCAGCTTACAATTAACAAAAGAAGACGTGTAGGATGAATTCAGACTTTATTTTAAAGATTAGTTATCAGAACTTTTTTGTATTTAAATTGGAGCAAACATTGAGTCCAAAGCTAAGCTAAGGCAAGTCTACAGCTTCTTCTTCAACCACTGATCATAGTCAATGCCTTTGATTTCACAGACGATCTTGAAGATCAATTCCTCCTTTTGAGCATAGTAATTTTCTGCGTCGAAATTCGACTCCAAAAAGTCAGCTTCAGCTTTGTAGAGCAGAAGTTTCTGCCGGAGACGCTGGGAGCCCTCCCCATCTAAGCTGAGCGAGGCCAAGCATTCCGATAGATAGGACTAAAATGAAAGTTAACCCTTACTTGCAGTTGGGAGAAGCCGCCTTCTGCTTTAATCAATATCAATGCTTACAGCCGTTTCACAGTTCTCCAGTATATTCTCGTCATGTGCAAACTCCACTGCGTAGTTGATGCTGTTCATGTTTGTTCCAGATTAACAAATGAATTCGTTTGAGGACTGACACTAACTGAATTTGCGACGAGCTCGTCAACGTCGGCTGGCCCTCAATTTGTTTATACTCGTATTATTCATGGTGTACGGTGATTTGGTCCGGCACCCGATTTCTTTCCCCTCTTCCGAACTGTCCAGCTGTCCGCTGGGCTTGTGGTTTGTTTATTGTCGCTTCTACGCTTATTCATCGAAATCTCATACGCCCCTCCAATCCAATCCCTCATTCCCGTTCCTTTTAGAGTATATGTATTTATGTATATATGTACACACGTTTTTAACACGTAATCAGAATTCGAATGCTTGCTCAGCTGACAAGTGACCAGCCAAGACCCGAGTTTCAAGTAGTTGTATAGATAAACACAACACAATTTCTTTCTACTCGAATATCGAATGCACCGATTTATGCCAGCTTTTTGCTATATATCGTAATTGATCTTGATGTTTTCGACTTATGTACATACATATGTACATTAGAGTGGGCCGAAAGGCCAAATTATGTTAAACTTAATTCGGCTCGGTGATAGAAAGTTGTGTTAACATAAATGTTGTACGTCCATACATTTATATATACAGTATATACTAGGTGTACCCTGCCACGTTTCGCTGTGGCATTTTGTGGTTGCACGCATAAGAAATGAGGAACACAACAAAGCAAAAGTTTTAAATACATTTAATTTTGTAATATTTGTGGGTATACAATATTTTTCGTTTCTCCATTCTGCGCGTAAAAATGAAGGCTATCTGGTTTACAGACACTGGAACACATAACATACAATTGTCTGTGTGAAAAGCAATCCGAATCCGAATGGAAAATTACAATCTTTTAAATTGAAATGGAGTATCAGTCGGGATAATGGGAATCCTAGGAATGGAGACAGCTAAGTCCAGCTAAGATCGTTGCTTCCACCACGTTATTCATCTATTTCTTGACCGCGAGTCGCGTACCGCTGCAGAGTTTTGGCTGATTAATTTTCCGGAGCATTATGACACTACTCGACAAAAACCAACGTTTTTTTTCCTCAAGGATCCAAACCAACTTTTTCTGATAGATATGGGACTTTAAAATTTTTTTTAAGAATTTTTGAATTCAGATATTTTTTTCTAAACCTTTTTTCAGAGGTAGCGCTTCTTTTTTTCACGTAACTCTAGTATCTTACGTCTGGTTGTAAAAAGCTTTGCTATTTTGAAAAGAAAACAGCTACAAGGTAAGCCCAAACTTTTTGTGATTTTAGCTTACCGTCTGGGAAATATAAAGCATTGAAATGCAAAAATGATGATTTTTGTGTGGTATTTTTTACGACATTTGGACTTTAAGAACTCAGGAAAAGTCGAAAAAGTATCCACAGTGCATGGTCTAATCACATCACTATAAAATTAATAGTATTAATTTATGTATGGATGTATGTTTAAAGGTCTGTTTTAGATACAGAGCAAATATATTTGCAGAAATATTATTAGTGCCATGACACTGTTTTAGCTTTTGTGAGAGGGTAGGAATCTGCACAGTGGTTGTATCTTCTGACTTGCACCGCTGTTGTCAGTCTCAGTACACTCGGCATTCGCTGAAAACGGGGGTTACGTTCCTGGAAAATCTTGTATTAAGCGAAAGCGTGTTAAGCGGATATACGGATTTAGTAAAAAATAAGTGGTTACGTTCCTAGAATTCTGGCATGTAGGCAAACAAATTTTTTTTTATTGTTCAAATTTGTTTTTAATTAACCAAAATGTTTTTTTGTTGGTGGCTCTTCTTGTTTTTCAACAAAATCAGTAATTTTTGATTGTTTAGTGGCTTTTAAAGCTTCTTTGGAACGCTCTTTATAAGGTAAAAGTATTTTTTCCATCTCCCTTAAATAGTCTTTCGATGAGCGGATCAGAATTTGTAAAGCACTAAAACTATTCGGTAAAACCAAAATTACAAGTCCGTTCCGTTTTGATCCCATTTCGGCCGTTGGGCCGAAACCGAAATTAAGGATTCAGTTAAAAATAGAAAATAACAATGAAAAAAAAAACCAAAGTTCCTTAACAATTTGTAAGGCCCCAAATCTGTTAGAACAACTTTTTTAGATTTACTGCGGAACAGAGCTTTCCCTTTTACTACGCGCTCCCCATGCGTACAAAAACACACTAAGGCATAATTGACAAAAAATTAATTTCGATTAATTTGCAATCGTGTAAGTAAGAGGTTTTGAGCGTGTTAAAAAGGAAAAGGGAGCAAATTTATAGCCGTGTATTTTCGTATTAAAAGAGTTCGTGTTAAGCGAGGGCCAGGTGTATTTGGCATTGTGTTCTAGTGGACAGTGAAATTTTCAACATGCGATATCAATTTATTTGATGGCTTACTATACTAAAATAAAAAAAAAGTATTTTAAATTAAATACAACTTTGCATAAGAAAAGGGCTAAAGCCTGGCATAAAAATAAATATAATATATAAGACAAAGGTTTTTGTTATTAAATTGTAACTAATATTTCTATGACAAATCGATTGTGTACAAGTTTAGGCAAAAGCACTGCTGCTGCATGCTGGCGTCAATCGAGATGAACTAAGACTGCCATCACGTATTTGAACGTGGCCAAATCCCAATCTGTACGCCCTTAAGTTTGTTCATCGATTAAAAACTAATTGGGGGTCAAAGAATTATCAACAAACGCAAAACTTGTAACCGACAGCTTCCCAAAATAAGGAGGAGATTTGTTTGGCCCTTGCTCAAATTGGAGTTTCCAAAATCGAGTCCGATAAATACGCCAAAAGCAGCCAGCCACGAAACTAAAACAGCCGATTGAAGGAGTCAAATCTGTGATGATTGGTCTGGCACGTTTGGATGTTAGAAGTTTATGGGGGCGTGATATAATTAGCATAGCGACGACGAGGATTTCGCAAAGAACGAAACAACGGTAAATGGCCTTTAGCCTGGACAGTATTGTTCGTAATTTGCTTAACAGTAAAACTTTTAATCTCTCATACGCTCTGTGGCGCCAAGGAGAACGACAGAAACATCAGGCGGTGGGGGAAGGAAACGAATTAGATGTCAGAGAAAAGATATTCCCTCCCTTAGTGTCCTCACCATCTTGCCTCAACACACAGTCCCAAGCACTGCTGCCAGAATTTCAGAGTCAATATAAGCTAGATTCGAAAATAAATATGCCATATGGGTAAAATCGAAAATGAATAAGCTAAAACTTAAAAAAATGGTAAATCTAGCTAAAATGACAGCTCTGGTCCCAAGGCAAATTGTAAAAAATACGTTGGGAGAAATGAAATAAGTGTAAATACGAGTACTTGTACGACAAAAACTCACTCGCACACATAATCATACTCGTACGAAATTTTAGGGGTATGTTTGTATGACTTGTATGCCCGCCCGAAAGCAGAGGGAGTCCAAGCGAGTCTCCTGCGCTCTAATTCACGAAAATCTCGAGTTTGGTTAACATCTGCTTTGACTTTTGTAGACTTCGCATCAACACTGTTTTCTAACCTCTGAGAGGTTTCGAGGTACAGTTTAGAATTAGCCTAGAGAAATGTCACAATTGTAGTTTTTCATACATACATAGGTCTTCTGTATTACACACAAGAATCTTGTATGTAGTATAGTATAATAAACTTACAATATGTGGACGGGTGCGCATACTTAGTAGTTGCCTAGTTATAATGGGTTGGTAGGGTATCGGCAAATTTGAGGTGCATCGCCAATGCCGTTTTGTCTGGCTTTTCTGTTCTCCAGATTACAATGTAAGCTGCCGCATTGGAGTGCGACTTCGGGGGTTTTTGTGACGACCTATTTGGTTTAAGACACTCTTACTAGCACTCAGCCCACTTTACGCCTCCTTGGCAGAGCGAAGCCACCCTTAGAGGAAGGTTGGAAGATTCTTCTGCGAGGGTGAAAGTGAATGACGCCATAATGACTGCTCCCAGTTGATTTTCATTTGCCGAGCGTGTCTGTGTCGCTCTGTGCCTCGCTAAAGTCCACATTTATATTAGTCGAGGGAAAAAGACTGAGAATTGTGAAGGGTGAAGTGGAGAGCGAAGATTTTAGAATTCTAGAATGAAAATGGAAGATATAGAAAATATGATTTTGACATTTTCGAAAGTGTCTATTGGATATCAAACTGCAAGAGAAAAAGCAAGCAGGGCATGATGAAACTCCCCATCATGCTTCAGAGCACCCATCATTAGTGGGTAAAAAAATATGCGACACTACTTATAAGTAGTGGTCTATAGACCAAACTGTGGCACACAGACTTGTACTGATGATAATCACAGCCACCAACAATAGCATGTGAATTGAAAACTGTAGTCTATTTATGTCGGCTTCCAAGCACCACCAAAAGGGCATAAAAACCCAATGGCTGGAGCCATGTGCGCAATAAATGTCAGCTTCAAACGAGAGAAAAACTTCACATTTCTTTGGCTTCCGTTTCCGTACGTCCGTTTTGTGTCAATCTTTAAAGCAGATTGCCTCACCTCACCCCCGGACTTGCCAGGCACACAGCACTGAGATCCGTCTAAATTGAAGAACGGGCCTGACTGAGAAGAAATAAAGCAAAGTCGAGCCGAGCTGATGACAATTTATTGTTCACACTTGTAACTGATGGGTGCTTAGGGGCATATACATATGTGTACAAGCACAATCACAAACGTGAGACACGAGTGCGATATTATGGAGAATATTTCATTGTCTGGCAGGGCCCGAAAGTAGACTCTACAAATTACGAGCCATTATTCTACCCAAAGCCAATATATAATATATTTACTATTATAGCTAAAGATGACAAAGCGACTGTGGAACATTGAGTAGCTCAGTAGAAACCAAATAGAGTAAAAATGTGGAACATTTTGCTGAAAGATATGCAAAACACGGTTCGCAGTGTAAACGATAGCCAGGAATTTATCGCTTTTTGTATTTGTACTCTTCACATATCTAAATGTAAATTTATTTGATTGTACTCTGTTTCGTCTGTAAAGGTGTGCAATTCAGCGTCATGTGCTCTTGGTAGCCGATGATTTTAAAAGCCTTGAAAGTTTCTCTT